ATCACCATCACCACCACCATCATCATGACCACCACCACCATCATCACCACCACCACTATCACCATCAAAATCACCATCACCATCACCACCACCATCCCCACCACCATCCCCATCACCATTGTCCCCATCACCATCCCCACAGCCCCACACCCCCATTGCCATCCCTGCTGCTGCCATCGTCAGCGAGTGTCATGCAGTGATGTGACGGGCAGGGATTGTGATGCGACCCTGTGCTGAAGTGAGCCACRGAGAGCAGCCTACATTCCCAGTGTCACCCCTGGGCCCTCGGTGCGCCCCCCAACTGCCCCTCCACGGGAACTTCTGAAAGCGCCACCTGGGGAGGCCACCRGGACCTGGGGGCCCTGCCCGTGGCCCGCTCTGATGCCCGTGCGGCCCGGCTCGCTCACCGTCGGTGGGATTGGCGAACTCCTTGGGCACGGCCGCGCCATCGTCCAGCTCGACCGCCTCTAGGCCCCCCCGGACCCCTTCAATCTGGACCTCATGCTCTCCCGAGGCCGCGTCGTCCTCTGACCTCGTGCTCTCGCCCGTGCGACGGAACTTCACCACCCTAGGGAAGAGAGCAGAGCCCATCAGCATGGCCAGGCCGTGTCCCCAGCGGCCTCGCCGCGCAGCCCTTGGGCCCAAGACAGGTGAGACGCCTTCCTCTCCTGATTTGGAGAGGGGACCAGGTGGGGGGTGGCTCTTCTCTTCAGCGGGGCGAGGTGAAGAAGAGTGACAACTCCCAGTTATTATACTAGGGCTGGTCAGTTGGCCAGGCTGCGCACTGCACAATGCCAGGCCCCGTGAGACCTGAACACTGCTGAGCAGTATAGCACAGTCACACGTCACTTCACACCGAGGACACTGCTGGGAAAGTGTCACTAGGTCACTTCCTAGTTGGGTGAACATGACAGAGAACACTCACACAGACTAACACAGATTCTGGGTGACATGCTTGCGGGACCACTGTCACATACAAAGCCCGTTGCTGGCCAAAGGGGCGACAGGCTCTGCACCATCGTGTATTTGTTTCAGAATCTGGATCCACCTGCCCCTTCATGGAGCACCAGCAACAATTTGGTCACCTAAGGTTTACATGAGACCACAAAAAGTTTCTTGCAGTTTTTTTTTTTTAATTTAAAGTGGATGCCAACATTTTTTAATTGAGAGAATTTACACTAAAGTTCAGATTTCCAGATAGAAGGCTATTTATCTGGTCATTGATGTTCACACTCTACAGAACTGTGGCTAGACCTAGGCAATGGTGGCCCCTTCAAGCGGGACATACACTCCACTATGACCACAGTCTCCTCTTCTCCAAATAATCTGCAGCCCTGAGTGTCTCTCGACACTTACCCTCACACGTGTCCTGCCTCCCTCTCATTGGCACTTTGCCCCATCTGTCTGGCCCAGGAAGGCATGTGAATTGAGACTCCATACACCCCACTCTYGTGAAATTCACTCCTTCAAACTGGGTGACTCTGAACAGCAGTTTCTTCCTCAGGGACTGAGAAGCAAAATTACCTGCCTCCTTCAAACTTTTTATTCCAAAATACAAAGCTCGCTGGCTGCCAGCCCCTTGTTGGTGCCTGAGACAACATCGCGGGCAGCCAGGTATGTTCAGCCCTCACGGCCTCCCAGGGGAAGAGGATTCAATGGGTAACGCCCATTTCTATCAGACTTTGAAAAAAGTTTGGCGAGTCAGGGGCATGAACAGCAGAGGGACTGTAGGAGCAACAGGACAGCAAAGTCGATCAGTGTCTTAAACAGGTTAAAGAAAAAGAGAGACAGCTGGGCATGGTGGCCCAGCGTTTCAGGAGGCTGAGGGGGAAGGATCACAAGTTAGAGGCCAGCCTCAGCAACTCAGGGAGACCCTGTCTCAAAATGAAAAATTAAAAAGGGCTGGGGAAGTGGCTCAGTGGTAGAGCACCTGTGGGTTCAATCCCAGTTCCCCAAAAGATAGAGTGTGTGTGTGTGTGAGAGAGAGAGAGAGAGAATTAAATCTAAATAACAATAGTCTACTACTATTAATTCACATTATTCCATGTATTTAAGCAAAGAATAACTAGGGCTCTGACACAGAAAGTGTCTACGTCAAAGGTGCAGGGAATTTTTWAATTAATTTGTACCAGGGATAGAACCCAGGAGGGCTTAACCASTGAGCCACATCCCCAGTCCTTTTATTTTTGAGAGGTCTCATTTAGCTGCTTAGGGCCTTGCTAAATCACYGAGTCTGGCTTTGAACTCACAATCCTCCTGACTCAGCCTCCCGAGCTCCTGGGATGACAGATTTGGGCCACCACGCCTGGCCAAGTGCAGGGAATTCATTCTGCTTGGGAACTTCTTCTTCTTTTTTTTTTTTTTTTTTTTAAGATAGAGAGAGTGAGAGAGAATTGTCAATATTTATTTTTAGTTTTTTGGAGGACACAACATCTTTGTATGTGGTGCTGAGGATCGAACCCGGGCCGCACGCATGCCAGGCGAGCGCGCTACCGCTTGAGCCACATCCCCAGCCCGGGAACTTCTTCTAGAAAAGACAGATGAGAAATCACAGATTATGGGCTGGGGCTATAGCTCAGTGGCAGAGTGCTTGCCTTGCATGTTTAAGGCCCTGGGTTCAATCCTCAGCACCACATAAAAATAAAATAAAAAATAAAGGCATGTTATCCATCGATCACTACAAAAAAAAAAAACTTTAAAAGAAATCAGAGATTATGTCAATAACTGCAGCTTTGCTCTTTAGCAACAAGGGGGTTAGAAAGGGACCCGGCTGGGACAGGAYGGCTGAGGTCAGAGGCTGGAGCCAGAGGGGCGTCCCATCTACCAGCACCACCGCCCAGGGTCACAGGGTTGGTTCCTCGCAGACGCCACGTGACGTCTCCGTGCGCTCACTGGGCACAACMGCTCTGTGGAAACTGGTGTTATTATCACTGACTTACAGACAGGAAAACGGAGGCCCCAGTCACATAACTCAAGAGACGGGGAGCCAGGACTCACCCTGTCTGTCTGTCTGTCTCAAAGTCTTGTGTACCCCACCGACGAGAGGCTACTACCTCTCCAGACCTCCCATGGCTCTTTGGCTATAATATTTTCATAAAAACATTTTAACTTGAGGGCTGGGGACCTGGCTCAGTCAGTAGAGAGCTTGCCTCATGTGCACAAGGCCCTGGGTTCAATCCCCAGCACCACACACACACACAAAGCTGTAATTTGAAATATTTCTAGAATATAAAATTATGTAGGTAACAGAGAGAATAACTCGGCTCCTGCTGTCCTGCATAAGGTGGAGCCACATGAAACTGTCACCCATCAACCATGATTCAGTTGAAGACACCGTGTCTCTTTCCCTCACACCTTCAAGGTCACAGTCTTCCTGGGGACTTTACCTGCCTCATTTTTAATTTTTTTGGTACTGGGGATTGAGCCCAGGGGCGTGTAACCCCTGAGCCACATCCCCAGCCCTTTTTACTTTTTATTTTGAGACAGGGTCTCATTAAGTTGCTCACGGCCTTGCTAAGTTGCTGAGGCTGGCCTCAAACTTGTGATCCTCCTGCCTCAGCCTCCCCAGCCGCTGGGCTTACAGGTGTGCACTACTGCGCCTGGCCACATATCTTCCCTAAAGAAACGTCTACTCAAATAGACATTAAATTGGGCTGTTCATCTTTTTCTGTGGCTAAGTTGTAGTTCTTTGTATATTCTGGACATTGAACAACACTTACCACATAGATGATTTACAAACATTTCCTCCCATTTATGGGTCTTCCTTTACAGTCTTAATTGTGACCTTTTGATACACCGAATTTCTGGTTTTTGATGTGGTCCAATTTGCTTGCTTTTACTTTTCTTACCTGTGCTTTTGTTGTCATGTGCAACAATCATTGCCAAATCCACTGTCTCCCCTATTTTCTTCTAAAGGTTTTATAGGCTCCTGGGGATTGAACCCAAAGCTACTTAACCACTGAGCCACATCCCCGTTTTATTTATTTATTTTGTATTTTATTTAGAGACAGGGTCTTGCTGAGTTGCTTAGAGCCTCACTAAGTTGCTGAGGCTGGCTTTGAACTTGCGATCCTCCTGCCTCAGCCTCCCAAGCCTCTGGGATTCCAGGCGTGGGCCCACGAGTTTTGACACCAGGATGAGTGAGGCCTCCAATTCAGGTCTCATTTTTCATTTGTTTGACTACTGGTGTCCTTCGAGTGTCGGTATGAATTTTAGGATGGGTTTTTCTAGTTTTGCAAAAAATAAACATGGCTTTTTGGGAAATCATTGCCTGAGGTGCTCTTCAGAGGAAAGGAGCCGGGAATGGGTGGGGGGCAGAGAGGACAGGGAGCCGCTGGGCAAGGATACGGCTTCTGCTGACATCGAGACTCAACCTGAGAGCCCTGGGTGGGAGCTGGGCACCAGGAGAGGCGTGGGGGCTGGGCTGGGGGCGTCACAGGGTCAGCACCCGCTGGCCCCGTGCAGCAGGCTGACCCCCCAGGCTGCGGGGACTGCCCTGCGCCCAGGGCCATCCTCGGGCTGTCCACAGCGGCAGCACTGGGGGAGGAGCCAGCCCCGCAGAGGGACTCTGCCCTGGGCACCCCAGCGTCTGCTGCAATCAGGCTCCCGCCGAGTTATTGCACCGATTAATTCCAAAGCACTCCGCAGAGGGAGGGGTGATTAATCGCTGACTTCCCCCCAAACTTCCTAGATTAAAGCTCTCATCTAGTCATGGAGCACGTGCCAAATGCCAAGTCCTACTGAGCCCTTTCTATAATCCCCTATTAACCTGGCAACCAACCTATGGATTCCATACTACCGTGACACCCATTTTGCGGACAAGGGAAAAGATGCTCAGAGAGGTTAAGGCGCCCGCCCTCGGCCACACAGCCTGCGGGAGCTGATTTCAGCCTGGGTGCCTCCGTTGGAGTCACTGATTCGGTGCCTCTCCCAGCATGTCTGGGGAAGGAGTGGACCCTCTCCTGAGCTGACCTGCAGGGGCAGCTTGCCAGACTCGGGAATCAGGGGTACCGCTCCGTTCCAGCCCGGCTGACCGCAGTGGCCGCGCAGGGGTTCTGGAAGCAGGAGCCTGGGACCCCCGAGGGGCTGCTGCAGCAGATGGCCGCGCCCCACCCCCACAAGATCGGATTCAGGGATCTTTCTAAGTCTCCAGATGTTGCTGATCTGGGAGCTGCTTCTGTGCATCAGGGCCCCCTCCCAGCCCCCCACTGGGGAGGAGTCACGGAGGGACCTGCCAAGGAACCCGGCCCTGAGAAGCCACGCCCACGGGGCCGAGCTGGGACCCAGAGGACCGTCCCTGGGTCTGGAGCTTCATATCTTGCAGGGGAAGGAGATGAAGTACCTCAGGCCCGGCCTCTGCTTACAAGGCCCACCCGCTCAGCACGTGCCCAGCCAGAGCCCCAAATGATGGGGTTTGTGTTATTTGGGGGAGGGGATGCTGATGGACACAGAGGGGCGCCTATCATCTGGCTCTCAAACACCACTGCCCACAGTTGCCCCCTCGCATTTGCCAACATCTGGGGAGTGAATGCCTCCCTGGTGCAATTTCAAGCTACCAATGGTTAAGTA